TGGTTATTGGAATTTATTCCGTATACACCCATCATATACTTATATATATATATATATATATATATATATATATATATATATATATATATATATATAATACATATATTTATTAGTTAATAGCTTAAAATCCGCACCCGGTTCGAACTTTTTACCTTAGCTCCTGCGCAGGGTTTTTGATTGAGCCTCGTTCCCACATCTGGTTCAGTTTGGAAAACAGTAAAATAATAATTTTGAAGGAAATAACTTTGAATTCCTGAATTCACTTCATGGAACTTCAAGACACTCACATCAACTTTTGATTCGGGCTATAAGTTGAATTCCAGCCGAGATTGCCAATTTGTCCAAAAATCTGATTTGGACCGAAATTTCAAATCAGTCCATAATCTGAATCACAAACACCACGGAACATCAAAATGTCATGTCATGAAATGTCTCACTCTAACTTTGATTCCTGGGCATTTTAAAGAAATAAAATTGACTTGCTCAATTCACAAAGATTTGGAGATATTTTTAAACTGAATTTAAACAAAAGAAAAATTCACAACCTTTTTGTGTTACTTTAAACTCAGTATAAATTAAATACAATGAAAATCACTATTTTTTCATTTATTTTAAAAATTTGAATTTTTCAGTCCCTTGCTCACCCAGGCCCAAATCCTAATGCTGTATACCCAAATGCCAGTTGTAGGGCAGATTTTCAATCCCGATATCATCCTAGTTCCAAAAAGGTATAGTATGTCTAAGTAAAACACGTGTGACCCGAATTAGAGGGTGTTTCAGAAAACACTGACGGACAGACAGAATTTTCTGTCTATTTATTTACAAGATTCGTCGCCTTCTTGATGATGTCAATATTCATCTGCAAAATGTAATTCTTCTAATTAGATTCCGTTCTATTTTTCTGTCTCAGTTTAATCCTCTGGTGATTTTTGTGAAGCGTGAGAAGCAAAGTCTTGTACTTGACTGAATCTTTCTTAGTAAGAGAAGGAATTACATATCTAAATCAAAAACACTCTCATATTTAAATGAGACAAGTCTTCTTTCAATATCACTCCAGAAATAATATCTTTATTTGAATTACAGAAGGTAACAGTTGCAAAGAATTAAACTTAACCATATTTATCTCCTCTTTATTTATATCACAATTGGCATTTTAGATCAAATGGTCGCCCGACATAAATAAAATTCCAAAGATTAAAAGGGATTAGGGTATGAGTCTCGCCTAAACCTTATTCCTTATTCTGATCCTGTTTTCTGATGGCTGCAGACTAACGCGCGGATTAGTTGAAATAGAAAAGTAAATAAAACTAAATGGAAGAGCTAAAAGTCAAAAATTGATATTCGTTGATAATCCTGACGGTTTTAATGCATGTGATACATAACTGACCAAAGAAGATTTAATAAAAGTCTAACATGTTACATTGATAAACGTTTCCTATTTGTTTCTTATCTTATCATCGTTATCTAAGTAAAAATTCAAATTACATTTCTGCTACTACTACTACTACTACTAGTAAGAGCAGTGTATGTAAAAACAATAACATCAGATGTGGTAGTGTGCATTTGATGAAAATAAAGATCAGATATATATATATGATTAGATTTGATCTTCTGCCATCTGTAATGTCTCAAATGGTAGATCACACACAGGCTTCCCAATTCAAAAGCATTGCATGTTTAAGTCTTGCCAAAAGCCCTTTTTTATTTCTGATCTGTACTGTATACTGGTGGATGGAGACTGTTTGTCTGAGGAGCTGCCATGAAAAGGAACTAAAATTAAAATGATAGCCATATTAAACAAGAATTAATAATGGCTGACATTACTACTAATAATACATTCGAAAATAATATTGCGACTACTAGTAGCTGTAATATGATGGCATGAGTAATTGCAGTTTAAGCAACTGAAAATAAGATGAAAGAAATTTTCATCAAATTTTAATAATAGCTGACACTTCTTCATTTATTAAAATTCCAGTTAATATTGCTACTACTCATACTGCTGGTGGAAATAAAGCAATTGAAATGAAGTTGAAAGAAATTGTAATAAAAATGTTATTAACATGGTTGACAATGCTTCATCTAATCAAAATGAATAATGCGAACGTTTTAATCACGTAAGCACAGGCTTTCTAGAGCCAATTTCTGATCCATTTCGTTTCTGTTCTCTCTATCTCTTCAAGATATATGCGAACTTGGCTCTCCACAGCTTTCAATTTTTTGTTAACCTCACCAGTACTTGCTTCTTTATTAATCTTCTTTGTCTAATCAAGCCTACTGATATCTATAGACAAATTCGGACTATTGTCCTCATCTTTGTCGCCATATTTATCACAACGTTTCGGCCGTTGTACGCCCCGGCCATCTTCAGGTGGTTGGAATGTTAACCTGAACCCTTTATTTCGCTCACTGGGGGTAGACTGTTCTAGTTCCACGAGCCATGTTTAATGGATGTCAGTTATCAGTTATCTCCTGTTAATTTCCCCCTGAAAGTTCTCCACTGCCTTAACCGGGTATTGAACTTACACTCTTTCGGTCCTGTCACTGGATCTAACCAACAGTGGATAAAGCCACTGTGCCACATGTCCTTGAGGACATCTGTGTATTAATTTCTGGGTATTATAAAACTAATGTCTTCAGCAACCATTTTTACCAGTGCTCATCTTGCAATTTTATTTTTGCTGTTATCATTACATGTTTTTACCAGACCTCATATTGCAACTTTTGTTGTTATTGTCCGAGAGAGAATCCAGTACAATCGTTGGATGAAACAGAGACTACAAGCTCATATCTCCCAGAGGTTCGAGGATTTCCTCAACAGAAGAATTACTAATGAAGAAGACCAGATCCAAAATGACCTGGATAAATCTTTCAGACATGAATTCAATGTAGTCAAGGCTCGCCAAGTACAAAAATTAAATAGATTGAAAGATCAGAAAGTGACGCAAAAGGTCCATCACTCACCAGTGAAAGCAGTAGTCAACATCAGCCAATATCAGCTGAGTATCTCTGAGGAGTCAGTATTGAATAAGGGTCTCAACTTCGCCTCAGGCGAGTGCCATACTTGGAAATCATTGCCAGAGTCGAGGAGGTGGCTTTGAACACCGCTCGGGCTCAGGCGGATGAACTGAGATGGAAGGTGAGACAAACTTTGGAGAAGGCCAAACCGCCCAGGTCTAACATAACAAAACTGGAGAGGCTGGCGATCGGATACCTACAGAGGAACGAAAACATCATCATACTACCGGCTGACAAAGGCAATGCGACTGTAGTGATGGACAAATTAGATTATACAAGAAAGCTGGAAGACCTCATTAGCAATGGTAGCTACAGCAAAGCAAAAAAGGATCCTACAATGAAAACGGAACGCAAACTGTCACAGATACTAATCAAGAACAAGGATCACTTCGCACCTAAGACGTATAGGCAGTTATCACAGCGTTACACCAAGCTAACTCACATATACGGTTTCCCTAAGATTCAAAAAGACGGTATTCGGCTTAGGCTGATTGTTAGTTGCCAAGGCTCTGTGTGCCAATCTCTGAGCCGCTTCCTTGTAGATATAATTGACCCATTGATCTAATCAAAGATGTTCCCATCCTATCCAACCAGATGTTGCGCTTGGACGTGGTAAGTTTGTTCACCAAGGTACCTACGGAGGAGGCACTCTCAGTAGTCAGAGACAGATTGGCCTCTGACTCTTCCCTAGAAGAACGGACCAATAGATAATCTGATGGAGATGTTGACTTTCTGTACGGAATGGGATCACACATATATCAACAGGATGAGGGCTTAGCAATGGGCTCACTATTATCACCAGCAATGGCGAATATATACATGGAATACTTTGACGAAATGGCATTAGAATATGGCATTAGAATAAAGCCAACTATATGGTTAAGGTACGTAGATGACACCTTCATATTATGGCCACACCAGAAAGATGTTCAGGTTCTACTGGACCATGTGAAATCAATACAGTTCGATACAGTTCACAATGGAGAAAGAGAGTAAAAACAAACTCCCGTTCCAGGATGTTCTAATATCTCGAACAGAGCATGGGTTCAAGAAATCCGTATACCGTAAAACAACATTCACCGGACAGTACCTCAATTTCAATTTCAATGGATCATCCGCTGCTTGCAACCGAGCAACAGTCATGAGTGACGACTCAGAGACATTAGATAAAGAATTGGTCAGTATAACTAGTACCCTACAACGTAACAACTACCCTGGGTACATGGCAGCAGCCCCCAAAAAACTGGGATAGGCGGGTACAAGAGGAGGAGGAGGAGGACAACAACACTCAGAAAACAGTCTGCCTGCCTTATGTGAAGGGGTTATCAGAGAAGATACAAAGGATCTGCGGTCCATATAACATCAGAACAACCTTCAAAAGCTTGACGACACTTCGCAGATATCTCTCCCGAGTAAGATCCCCCATAGAGGAGAACATGACTAAAGACCGTGTGTACGCTATCCCGTGCAGCTGCGGAAAGAAATATAAAGGAGTGGGATCATGTTGAGATCATAGACAAGAAACACCATTGGAAAATTCGTAAATTTAAGGAATCAGCACAAAATCTCCTGAGCCGACCAAGCATAGAAATGAATACAATATGGGAACCAGTAATAAGGAGTACCAGAGAAAAGCGATAATAACAACAATATAAGCTCTGGTAAAAACATGAAATGATAACAGTCTGGAGCGCACAACGCCCGAAATATAATAAATATGGCGACAAAGATAAGGACAATAGTCTGAATAATGTAAATAGTGTACATAATACCTCATCTTAGAAATATAGACAGATACTGAAGGGCCGAAATGTTGTAATAAACATGGCGACAATGATGAGGATAACAGTCCGAATAATGTAAATAGTATACATAATACCTCATCTCAGAAATATAGACAGATTCTATGCTTTATATTATTTCATCTTATACAAAGCATTCATTCTTTTTACTTATTTTTAGACTTTTTCATTGGCTGTCCCTTACTGGCTGCAAGCATGCCCCGTAGGGCTGCAAGGATGCTCCTTAGGGGCTACAAGGATGTCTCTGACGGCTGCAAGGATGTCTCCGAGGGCTGCAAGGATGCCACTTTGGGATTGAAGGATGACCCGTAGGCGCTTCCATTCCCTTGAAGGATACAATGATATCCCTTAGGGGGTCCAAGGATGTCTATGAGGACTGCAAGGATGCTCTTTAAGGGTTGCAAGGATGCCCCTGAGAGCTCCAAGGATGTCCCTTATGGGCTGCACGGATACCTCTTACGTATTGTCTTGACAGATTTCCAGTCTATTCCCACACTAGTACACCAACATGTTTAAAATCTAACCATTTTGCAATATATATTTTTATGTTTTTACCCCAAGTAAGGCAATAAAGCTACTGTGATGGCTGGTCGCTCGTGTCCAAGCATGACTGTCTCCTAAGACAGTTAGCAAATCCCTGCTGCAGACGCCTGCACGGGGACATTTGTGTTTGTTTGACACCCACAGTGTTTTATACTGCAACAATGCCGAGTGGACCTTAGTTACAGTTTCTGGGAGAGAGTGCATTATCTAACGTGTTCAACAGTCTGAACAAGGCCAAAACCTCGGTCACGATGACTTGTGACTTTCATTCACAGGGCGTAGTTCAACCCGTGGCGTGGTTTTCAGGCACTTTCCGAACGCTGGAATCACCTCCCCAGGCCGATAACATCAAGTAAACACCTTCCTGGTAAATCTACCATGTTGAGATTCAAACACAAGACTCATGGTCAAAAAGCCAACGTTCTAACCACTCGGCTATACACCCATTAATAAAGCCAATAAGACTGAAAGCTAGAGAATCTGAGAAAAAAAAAAACATTATTAAGGCGAGTTGACAATAAAAGAACAGTAATTAAAGACACAGACTATGAAGATTAGCGTTGCATTCAAATATTTGATGGTCAAAGTTCATTGGAAAGTGAGAAGAGAGGCCCACAAGCAAGATGTGTGATAGAAGAAACTCTTAGCATAGAACTTACATCTAACCATTTCACTTGGAAAATGATGAGACCTAACGACCAATCTAGTACTTCATTTAAAGTCTAGGTACCAAAGTTAAAAGTTCATCAAAAAATTACCATAAAAATATTTATAGAAAAAGCAAAGGCAGTGGAAAAATGACTGAAGCCGAGAGGCCAGGTCAGAACCGATTACATTGCAGATTTTTCTTTGTATCAAGAATCTCTAAGTACATAACAGAAGCAGCAAACCAGATGTGACAGTAATATTCAATGCATGGATAAATGGTCCGATCAATGGTCCTTATAAAGGTGTAATTATACAATCTGACAAGAAAAATTATCTTGCACAGTGAACCAACTCTTCAGCAATAGATTTCATCCTGAGTCCATAGAATTGTATTTTATTGTACTTTTGTTGGAATAGATCACAGTAATTAGGTTCACAGATACTAATGTAAGTTGGATTAGCTGGGCATGATTTTATTTTGACATAGTAATGTAGTGCCAGTTTAGGTCACCTTAAATGTGGAGGTATTTCATTAGCTTTTGTGTACAAGTTCTCCACTGGGGATGTCATAAAATCTCCAAGTACTAGTCTGACATCTTGATGATAGGCTGCGTTTCGTATTTTTAGGTAAGATTTACTGTCCACCCTATATATGAAACTAACGTAATCCAGTTTTTAGCGAAGTATTGATCTCTATAATTTAATTAATGTTTATCGATCTGCTTCGCATTTAGTATGGGTTACCACACGCAAAAGTTGGAGGATTTTACTACATTTTAGTTTTAAATATTTTAAATGGAGAATGAATGTTAATTTTTTTATAATCAAATATGATGCCTAAGAACTTGTGTTGTTCCACTACTGCGATTTCTGTCCCGTCTAATTTTAAACAGGGGTCGTTGTGCATGTTTTTTTTTAATTTGCATGTATGTAAGCATTTCGTTTTCGTTTTGGAAAAGGTAAAACCATTTTCCGTAGCCCATTTGTGTATTTTATTGATGCATTGTTGGAATTGATTTTCTATGATATGCAAATGTCAAAATTTGTACATTATTTGAAAGTCGTCGACATTATCGGGAACATCTCACTGCTGGGCTTAGAGATTTAACTATGGAGTCAATTTTGATACAGGAAAGTGTCACTGAAAGAATATTTCCTTGTGGAACCCCTTTTTCTTGATTTTGCAGTTATGACAGCGTAATTCCTATACAGTCTTCCAGGAAATTTTTATGAATTGAGGCAGCCTTCCCTTTAGGTCTAGTTGATGCAGGTCTTTCAAAATATCAAATTTCCATGCCGTGTCGTAAGACTTTTGCAAGTCAAAAAAGACTTCCGTAAGATATTCCTTCTTAATGAAGTTTTCCCTTACAAAGGTTTCTAGGCGCATTAAGTGGTCTATGGTTCTTCTTTTTTTCCGAAAAATACATTTGAAGTCGCTGATTAAGTCTTTAGATTCCAGGTACCAAGTCAACCTGTTGTTGACCATTTTGTCCATAGTTTTACATAGGCAACTGGTTAATGCTACTATTGGTCTGTAGTTTTTAGGGTCTTTGTCATCCTTTCAAGTTTTTGGAATAGGGATGATGAACGATTATCTCCACATTTCTAAGAAGTTGCCATTTTTCCTTATGTTATTATACATTTTTAATAACAGTTGTAATAATTTGTTGAATGATTGTTTTATGAATTCGTATTGGATATTGTCTGGGCCTACAGCTGTAATGTAGGCTTTCTTTAAAGATTCATTTAGTGCTTTTAGAGTGAATGGTAGGTTATATCTCTCGGCATTATTTGATTTAAAGTTTAGTTTTTGTTTTTCCGGTTTTTGTTTGAACTTTAGAAATTTTTGGCTACCATTCTTGGCAGATTCATTTTTCAGAAATCGTTTTGATTAGAGAGTCAGCGATATCCTTTTTGCTGGTTATCTTAGAGTTATTTATGGAAAGGTATTTTATAGTTTGTTTGGTATTTGTCTGCTATTTTCTTTATTATATTCCAGACGGATTTTGTTTTTGTAGCAGAATTGAGCCTGTTGACGTCGTTTTGCCAGAATTATTTTTTGGATTCTTTAATTATTTTCTGTGCATTTGATCGGAGTTGCTTAAATTGCAGCAAATTAGATGTTGTACTTTGTTTGTTGAATTCTCTCAGAGATGCTCTTCTTAACCTGATGACTTTTTTCACATTTATCATTGAACCATTGTCTATTGCGTTTTTTTGTGTGTGCTGAATATTGTGGAATGCTATAGAGATGAGGATTTCCGTGCAATGTTTTAAGTCCTTGATGCTTTTTCCTTCAACTTGTTTTTCAGAATATTGGTTTTAAATTCTTCACAGTTGACTCCCCCAATTTCCAACGGAGAAGATTTTTGTCATTATGCTCTGATTTTTGTAGGACGATTGGCAAGTGATCGATACCGTATGCGCCTGTTAGCACTTTCCAAGAGAAATCCATATAAATTGATGGATCACATAGGGATAAGTCTTTTGTCGAGTAGCTGCTAGAAAATGGATTTATGTAAGTCGGGATTTTATTATTATAAATAATTGTTTCTAAGGTCGTTCTCTTTTAGTTTGTGTTTTTACAACCCCATATGGTGCTGTAACAGTTAAAGTCCTCTTGTATCATAAAAGGGGGAGGGAGTTGCCTTATGACTTCATTTCCTGGTATATACCGAGCAGATGTTTATTGGCTCTGTGTAAGGTCACTTTAACAGCAGTCACCTTTAAAGTTATTGTTAAATTTATTTTACTTTAAGGTTCATCATTCCTAACTAAGATGGATGTACCGCCTGACGCTCGAGAACCAGTTTTTTTGTGTGTGTAGTTGTATTGATTGGATTCTTTTATATTCAGTTTGTCATTTGGCTTAAGAAATGTTTCCTGAAGGCAAACAACTACTGGTGACTGGTCTGTTATTTGGAGAAGCAGTTCATTTATGTTTGCTTTTATTCCACGGAATTGAATTATTTGATACATGATTGCTAAATGTCTTGGGGCTTTAGCTTAGTATATGGTTGTGATTTAATTTTCCGGGGTTTTGAATGTAGAGGTTTTGACTGTTTGTTGGTTCTGGCTTTCCTCATCCAGTTTGTCAAATCGGTTTTGGGTAGGAATTTGGTCACTGTGAATTTCTGGTTTTTGTTTGGCTGGTTCTGTTTTTTTTTGGAAGATAAGTTCTTAAGTCTATCTTTAATAGTTTTCGGTGGACGGATAGAAGATCAATGTGACCTTTGCTTTGTAGGAGATTTTGTATTTGTTTTATTGTTGTTATTTCAATTCGTTCCTTGGCTTTCTTTGGTGGTTCAGTCTGCACTATCTTCTTGGAGTATTTGTCCTTCAGGTAGTTCTGAGATTTGGGTCAATCATTTCGTCCCACCTTAACGAGCTTCTCAATGAGGGTTGACTGGTATTCTTTTTAAGCCTCCCTTGCGTTATTTTTGCATAGGAAGGGCCTTTCATGTAGCTTTTTTCAATTAACATTGCCTCCGCGAATGAGGCATTTCGTTTATGTTTCACCTCGACTATCTCCTTTTTCCCCTTACCAGAAATCTCATGATAGTAAGTATTCTGGGTGGTTTACCTGATACTTAGAACATCTTACTTTATCCTGACATTCTTCTTCCGTGTGATCTGAATCCCTTTGGCCACATTTTCCACATGTTGGGCGATTCCTGCATCTATCCCTATGATGCCCAAATTTTTGGCACTTGAAGAACCTATATTTTTAGCACTTGAAGAACCTATATCGTTCCACTGGTTTAATGTTGTACCTGAGTTTTATTTTTCTAGGGATTTCAGGTGTAACAAAAATAAGGATATACGTGCCTGTTGTTATAGTTTCTCCTTTCCTTTTAATCATGATTCTACGATAATCACAGACCACATGGCTTTCTAAGACATATGTGATTTCTTCAGTTGTGGACACATTTCGGCTTTTAATAATCCCCGTCAAAGTGTTCATTCAGGAGGGAAGGTTTTTATTTGGTGCTACGGAAAGTCTTCATCTTGTGTTTTATATTTTCCACTTCTACATGCTTATTATCCTTTCTCAATTTCTTAACTGTTTTGGGGTTAATCCCACTGGATAGTACCTTTTCAATCAAGAAAGGGGAAAGTTTTGCTTGAGGAGTTTCTTCTCGGAATGCAAGCAGAAGAAATATTAGAAATTCATTACTTAATTCTTATACAGAATCAGAAAGATATCTTGTTCTTTGTTTTTTGGTTATTCATAATTTGATGTAGAAAAAATTCACCACCTGTGCTCCGCAACCACCTCGAAGCCGATCATTGGGACGTGTCAAGGGGGAAAGCCAATCCCCTTGACAGGTCAAGACTACACAAACCAGTATACTTGTAATCGAGAGAGACACTGATCACCCGTGTTGCTCTTCCCAAATCTTATGTGTATAAACTGGAATGTTCAGAGCCATGCCTAAGTCTCGATCTCTTCAAACCGATTGACCCTCAGCCATCGCCCTTCTCACGCCTATAAATTGCAGAGAGATGCTATTTCATCCTGGTGTATATTTGGGGTATTGTATTTTGTTATAAAATACTCTATAAAATGATATATTTATAGAGGCTAGGGCTTTGCGTGACCAGCCGATTGATCTGATCGATCCTCTCCGTCTGCGCGTCTGGTTCAACTAAGGGCCAAATTGGTGTGTTGGGAATCAGAAGTATCTAACCCTGACACCTGAAGCCCTCAACCACCAGGATCCCATCCTCAGACAGTACGGATCGCCACCCACGGTAAACAGGTGGCCTCAATGGTGGGCGATCTTACCCTTTTGCAGAGATTCAGTTGGCGCATTCTGAAGCAACAGCTAACATGGCGGTAGGTTAGTTCTGGCATTTGTTTGGGATCAATGATGCCTGGTTAAAATTCCCATGAGACACTGAGCTAAAGTTGTGCTTTTAATATTTTTCATCAACATAAAAAATATTTTAAAAAATTATTAATTATTAGTTAAAGTAAAATTCAGTAAAAATTTACTGGATAAGAACTAAATGAAGAATCCCTAAAATTATATTAGAGGGTCACCAAGTCAAAAGAAATTCTGAGTTCAGGCTTACATCTAAAAGTTGGAAAAACAATGCTAGAATTGTCTTAATGTTATTTGAAGTCAAACAATAGATCAAACAAAAAATATCAGCGAAACAGAAAATGAAATAAAATCCTTCATTTATTACTTTTATGTTCTTCTCATGATAAGTATTTTTTTATCATCTTATTTCCTTTTGCAAATAATAAAACTGTAACAACTTTTGAAAAATCTGAAATGATGTAATCTTTGATTACAGAAACAATTTCATTCTTGACTATCATATATTGATAAAATGAAGTCTATTTTATCTTCTTTATTTGTTTTTTTTTATTTCAGTTTAAAAGCAGTAAAACCGCTGTTTTCTAATTAGTGTCTCCCACGTGGTGTTACTAATATCTATGCATAGACTACTGATTGAAGGATTTAAAATCTATGCTCAGCGTATTGACTAGATTATTTTCTATGGCCAGCTAATCGATTATCTGATTTTATATCTTTGTTTGGATGATTGACTGAATCGTTTGATATTAATGCATGGACTACTGATTGCAGGAGTTCATATGTATGCTTCGATTATTGATTGGTTGATTAGATATCTATGCTTGATCTATTGATTACCTAATTTGACTATCCTTGTAATAATGAATGAATGATTTGCTATTTACGCTCGGCCTACTGATTGAACGATTTGCTATCTACGCTCGGCCTACTGATTGGACGATTCGCTATCTACGCTCGGCCTACTGATTGGATGATTCGCTATCTACGCTCGGCCTACTGATTGGATGATTCGCTATCTACGCTCGGCCTACTGATTGGATGATTTGCTATCTACGCTCGGCCTACTGATTGGATGATTTGCTATCTACGCTCGGCCTACTGATTAGATGTTTTTCTATCTATACAAAGCCTATTCACTGGATGATCTTATATTCATTGTCAGCTCATTCATCTTACTTTATATTTCTTCTTGGCCTACTAATTGAATTATTTGCATCTAGACTCAACCTATTGTGTGTATTATTCAAGAACTAGGCTCACCTTACCAGATTAGTTGACGTACTGTTTGGATGATTTGAGCATAGCATATACACTGATTCCTTCAGTTTTCTCATTCTCTAGTGTGATTTAATATTTACTATTTTGACTTTATTCCATACTATCCTTAATTGTATAAGCCTAGTTTTCCCGAGCCAGGAATTAAATTAAAGAAAAATTCAACCCATTTTATTTAATTTATGAGAAAATAACAAAATATTCTACATTCTAACTTCATTAATCACTATGCCAGTTTCATTGATTTTTCAAGACAGTCATTCATGGCGTTTAGGCTAATGTTTTGTGTATCTGGTGATAAATTAGCCAAAAGCCTGTCTCACCCTAAACCTGAGCTGGTCAATATTTCTGGCTTGTATTCTGAATATAAACTTATTCACCAACCCCTAATGATAGAAAGAAATCACTAAATGTCAAATTTAGAAGCAACTTTACAATCAGCTGCCTTTTTATACTATTGTTCACCGAATACAACGCCCAAGAGCCACACAAGGTAGAGTGTAACTGAATAAGGTTGTTTTAAGGGCATAGAAAGAGGTAGTAAGAGGTGCATCTTATAAGGATATGTAGAATGGATAAACCAGACTTGAAGGTTAAGTTTGTAGAGATTGGAGAAGCATACTTTGAGCACTCTACAATGTAAGAGTTCTTAGGAAGCAGCTGTCTGAGTGGAACTTCCTCATTACCAATGGAATACAAAGGGAGTGTGGAGGCGTCAACTCTCTGTACATGGTGGGTCCTAGCTAGAAAGGTGTGAACTGTTGAAATTCAGAAATGTAGCTCATTTGGACATATGTAAGGAAAATAGTGATAGAATAGCAGGAGGAGAGCAATGATTTGTCTGTGGGGAAAAAGGAGGGGGGTGTAGTTTGGAAAGTAATTCATCGTGTGTGCCTGGAAGGAATATCCAGCTTCACATGCGAAGTGGGTAAACTGGCCACATTAGGAGGCAGGACATGCCTAGCAGTGTACTTCTTGCCCAACTCACTGGTACCCAAAACTGTTTTCACAGCCTATCTTCCTTTGGGCACCCAGTAAACAATTCTTCTCACTTCAGCCAACGTGAAACCAATACCCTAGTGCTGGTACCTGGTATATGCTTCCATTATGAGGAGTCTGGTTATCGGGTAATGCTTTGCCAACAGAATAAAGTGTTTGACTCCCATATTGAAATAAAGAGAATTACCAATTCTGCCGTCCGACTTAATCAGTCCCTCCTCGTCTATGTACATATGAAGGTCCGCCAACAACCTAGGGACGTTCCTGCCTGAAGCATCCGGCAAGAATGCCAATTCCTCAGGATAGGCTTCCTGTTGCATTGTCTACATCTGAAGTATGGCTGCCAGTCTCTCACTATCAACCTCCAATCATCGCAACCTGTTAATAAACCTTATAACTAACGCGGTTATCCTTAAGATCTTTGCAATGGAAGAAAATTTCTCCAGAGGTAGAACCGTTGAGGCTTTCTCTCCCTGGATGAGAGCAGCATTCAATGAAAAACGGGCTATCCGTTGATTGTGTTGATTGAGACATGGTAACTCCTGTGTGGCCTATGGAGTGATCCCGCTACACAAAGAGTCCGGACCATGACACCAGAACCAAAGGCAAGCCTTAAACCTTTACAACGTCAAACTCCTGGTGATCAAATCAGAAGTGGTTAGTACATACCGGAATGGGGGGGGGGTAAAGCCAATCAAGGATTCTAACCCAGCAACCATCTGCAAGACATCCTTCAGCCGGTTTCTGGCAAATAGGTTCTTGCTCACGATTGATCAGCAAATAATCCCTGAGAGGACCACTTGGGAATCCATGGTTACCTGTATTTTGGTTGGGGGAAAGTCCTTAAAGGGTCAAGGATTCTAAGCAAACCCGTATGCCTCTGGTGATGCATCCTAAAAGGAGGAAGATATCAGCGACCTCGTTCTCACATAAGCCTTCAGCCCCCAACCCGGAACGATTTCTTCCATCTGGATGAAAATTCGGCCGGAAGCGACTCATCCGATCCAAGCCCCTCTTTCATAGATCACTTAACAGGATACGTCGCATTGAGACAGGCAAGTATAAAGACATGGGGTCAAAGACTCTTGCTGCTTCCATGAGTATGTGTCGCTTTGTGAACGTATTGGGGTCATAACTTATGGGAGCAATACAATGTATGTCAGTGAGGGGATTGTATCGATACCCAAGAACTTTCGCCCAATCAGCCCCATGACTGCTGAGGGTATCATCCGTCTTCATTTTGACCCAAATCCTCAAGACTGCAGCTCAAACCCTCCCTAAAGCAATCGTCCCCTGGAAAGGGCATATAAATTGCATAGCTCATCTGGGCTATCACTGGTCATCACCAGATTGTCCACGTAGAACCGATTCTCTATCATATGTTGACAAGGATCCAAAGGAAATTGAACAGTATAGTGCCAAAACCCCGTATGAACGGGCTGGACTGGTGATGCATCCCCTTGTCTTTCAAAAGGAGGAAGATTTCATGGATGCCTCTGGTGATGCATCCTAAAAGGAGGAAGATATCAGCGACCTCGTTCTCACTGTAAGCCTTCCGGGGGAAGGTTATTGCCCCCAACCCGGAACGATCAGCAAAAAGATTGGGGTTGTAAGTGGACAACTAAAACTAACTTTCTTCTCCAGGAGTACCTCCTCGAAGTTCTTATCACAGTATCCAAAGAGTGTTGATAACTTGAATTCACAATCAAGCCCTAAGAACTCCAGACTTCCAATGGGATTTAAAAGATCACTGGACAGGTCCGCCTGCTGCCAGTGACCAACAAACAATTAGCATAGATACTTTCACCATTTGAACCAAAGGGCACACACAATACAGACAGGAGATTAGTTGAACTCCCAGAATAAGTACGGGGTGCTGTCGAGGCGGAAGGAAAAATCCCTTCGGGTGGGATTGGATCGACGGCGAGATTCCGCATCTCTAAAGGAGCCTCGCTGAGGATTATGGGCAGTGTCCAAGAGATTACCCCTCCTTGATAAGGAAACGTTTAATCGCCTCCTTGGCATCCCCTAAGACGGAAAATAATGTGGGAATTCTCTTACCTGAGAGCCGAATCATTTCGCCCTTAACTTCTCTGGGAAATTTAGAGAAAAGGATTTTTGCCACGAGGCGAGCTCCAGAAGACTGATCATATGAGAAAGCACAGTTGAAAAAGCTTTCCAACTCCATCAGAAATGAGGTTATCCAGAATATAAACTGAGTCAAAGAAGAAAAAGATATCTCTCGCTTAACAGAGAAGTCTAGTATCTCTTGGAAAAGGTTGTCGATAATTTCATCTTTATCCAGATATTCATCCCCCAGGATATCGAAGGTCATTCGATAATTCCTAATGCTGATATGGTGATGGTTGATCAGTAGCAAGGCCTTTCTACTGAGTTAACATTTTAAAAAGTGTAGCCTCTCAGCATTATTGGCCATTCCTTCTACACAATTCTCAAAACGAAATAAGAATTTTTAGAAACTAATCCGGTTAGTATGCATTTCCTGGCCACTGAACGTAGGGCCAGTAATCTGGATCTATGGAGACTTGACGACAAATGAAGACGGACACCTATCCATCTCTGGTGGGGATCCTAGACGACAATTTCAGAGAATTAGTTGTGGCAATGAGGAATTTAAATTCCAGATCCTCAAGCTCTCTCCAGAACTTTAATGTATGCCTCAGGGATTCCTTCTCGATAATCCTCAGATGAAGACTGCATTTGCAATTTATTAACGCAGATCTCTACCTCCGTTAGGTACTCTAACACATTTTTTGAAGAGCCAAACAAATCTTCACAGAAAGTTCGCCCTCCTGACTAGCAGCAGCCAGATTTGTCCTGATCTTTGATCGTAGAAGAGAAATTCTTCTCAGCAATCCGTCCCTGCTGTTAGCCATATTAGAAACATACGAGATTAATATATTTTTTTGGGAAAAATGTCGAAAAATCTCAGAGACGGTGCAGGCCGAGGAAAGGAGCAAAAGTACTTACCTTAAGTTGCGAAAAAAAAAAATGTCCTTCCGCGACGTAGCTTAATCGTCTGAAAACTTGCACTGAGTTACAAGAATAGCAAAGAAAAGGAGGAAAAAACATTTCCTTTATAACCACTTTAGGGATCACGTGGTAACAAGTCACGAGACACTAACTATTTTAAAAAAATATTAAAAAGGTAACAGCTTTTAGTCAACAAGAACCAACAACCCAGGTAAGTATATTACTCTTACTCACGCCTGAACCGTCAATTTCTCCAAACTTGAGTGTACAACTATTAATTCTGATTGTCGAAAATTCACGGTCTTCATGGTGATGATGAAATCTTCAAAATTAATTCATATTCAGCATAAAGGCAAGATTTCATATTTCATTCATATTTAAAAATTTAGGTTAATGTTTTCAGTTACGTTATTTGTAGACTGAGTATGTTTAAATTTCTTTATTTTTAGTATATTATATTTCATTATTATTTTTCTGTATTTCTTTTTTGTTTACAACCACATCATGGCTCCAACAATTAAACAAGTAGTAACTAATAAGCTAAAACTAATAAACTTTTCTTGATGCAAATATCTCGAATCAGATTAAAAAAATGTCTAAAAAAATAATAAAATGCAGATTGTGATGTCCACACTAATTATATCTACAAAACCTCTATCCTTAATATTGAAGGTGCTTCTCTCATATATATATATAGCAACTTGTAAACTTGTTTATGTTTATATATATATATATATATATATATATATATATATATATATATATATATATAAAAATATATATATACTCAAAAATGTTTTGAAGGAATATTAATCATTTGCTTTGCTTTCTAGGCAGAAACAATTAGGATTTTACTGAGCAAAGTCAAATTTTTGTTACACAGTGTAATCTAGGGAAATGGATTGATTCCGTTTGTCTATTCATCTTACCCGCAATTCACAAATAATATACTAAAATAATTGACAGGAAAGAGAGTGGATGAGTGGTCATCTAGACAAACTAATCCAATATGACAACTTTATATGACCAAGCGAAAACAGTAAACACTTGAGATCTTCATAGTCATCTTTGACAGGAGGCAATCATTAAACACTTGGTCACATCTCGATTTAGTAGATCTCCAAAAGAAGCATTTATATATAATCTATAAATTTCAGTAACACTTATATTCCTGAATATATATATATATATATATATATATATATATATATATATATATATATATATATATATTACTGAATCATGAATATGGATTGTCTGATAAAAAGATTGTAAAGGTCATAGTCATCTGTCATATTGGTGACCTTAACTTCAAGTGATGCCACACACATTGTAACAAACCATGCACAAAGAGTATAGGTTTCAATCTGCTCAGTCCACTGCTGATATCATAACTGCCATTACTCACTGAATCAGTGAAATACTAGACAACAAATACGTCTCAAGGTGTGGCATAAAGGGTTACTGCACAAGCTATAGAATCATTGGAAGAGAGTTCTCATTTATAAAGACCATTCTTGTGGGTAGGTCCTGGAAGGTAGTTTTGTGATATCTATGAACACTCGTTGCCACTTTTGTGATGCAAATGAATACTTGTTGTCACTTTTGTATTGCTTGTTGTAGTAGAGACTTTGTAATCACAGATACAACTATAGTGTACCGTTGAAGAACACTGGTGTCAGATGCCTTCGAATAGCACTCGCAATAATATTACTTGCTCAATAATACTCCCTCGAAAGTAATCAACAAATAGTATTCCGTATAGTGAATAGAGTAGAGAATAGTTGTCCCAATAGTAATAGAGGATAGACTAGAAATGCAATTCAATCGAGACGTCATGCGACTTCCTACTTATGCATTTTCTGTATGGTCATGTGGTCTACTTAATTCAATAATGGGATCCCCTGTGTTTTCTCACTGGCGATCTATGTTCAAACTCAATTGTCAACAGCAACACTTTATTCCTATACAACAGTAGTTATTAACATCCAGTCATCTGAGGACCAAGCAATCAAAGTCGGCATACCTCAAGGTTTGCTTTTCATTCCAACCTTCTTTCTACTTTACATAAATGATCTGCCTAAGAGTATACTCCCACCATTTATGAATATCTATGCTGATAGTATATTATATAGGTGCACCAATAAAACCTTACATGACCAGAACTTGGCAGCTGATCAATCCTAGTGAGGAAAAAACTGATTGATAATAGTCATTGCCTCAAAAAGCAAACCAAAGTAACATTCCATCTCAATAAACAAGTGTTCTCTCAAGGAGGAGACTCTTGCCTTGAGTGCCTCTTGGGGCTTAATCTCAATCCAGACCTCAAGTTGAACTCATACATATAATCCATTGCTAAAAATACTGGAAAATGGTCAGTTTCCTGTAATGCTTCAATAAATACATGACATTTTCTGCTATCCTCTAGCTCTGCAAGAGCCAGATCAGACTGAAAATGGAATATTGCACAGTCTTCTCTTTACAGTATCACTAGTGTCCAAAAGTGTCTTCACGTCCTTGTGGGTGATGAATTATTCCCACTCTGCAACCGCTTTCTCAGAGACATAATGTCACTAGCCTCTCATTGTTGTATCATTATTTCCCTGAAAAATGTTCAGATGAAGTACATTCCTTGGTTCCACTAGTTCTAACCTTCTAAAATCTGACATTATGACTTCTTCTCAAACCTGACCTTGCCATTCCCAAGCAATGCTTCTTATCTGTCTTATTTCTGAGATGAGCTGCCTATTTACATTATTTGAACTGATTCACCATATTTATTATAATGTTTCCCTTTCAGTATCTGTCTATATTTCTGAGATGAGGTATTATGTACACTATTTACATTATTTGAACTATTGTCCTCATTTTTGTCACCATATTTATTATAACGTTTCGGCCTTTCAGTATCTGTCTATATTTCTGAGAAGAGGTATTTATGTACACTATTTACTGCCTTAACTGCCTTAAAGATGCCATGTCAAACTAGAACAGTCTACCCCAGTGAGCAAAATAAAGCGTTCAGTTTGACATTGCAACCACCTGAAGAAGGCCAGAGCATACAATGTCTGAAACATTGTAATAAATATGACGACAAAGATAATAGTCTGAATAATGTAAATAGGATGCTTCTTGATCACTAAAATCTTAACCTGTTCAACTCTAGGATCAACTGTTACCTTTCCTATATATCCCCATAAACAGTACGGAGTGAACAACATTGTAAAACAAAAAAAAAACTTTGTTCTATTCAGTCAGGATGTTTGTTACTTTTGAAAATATTATTTTTTTTATATCTATATTAAACTTCTCTGCTTGATTGATGCATCTTCTGCACTAACTTAACAAATGTTTTGAATCTATCTCTTTTTCTTATTGCTGAAAAAACCCTTAGCAAAGGCATGAATTAACTTCTCCCTCCAGATATGATGAAATAGTATGACAAAAGCTTTTAACCATGTAAAGTTGGTTTGTCAAAAGATCAAGTCAGATATTATTCTTTGCTGATGGCACCATTGTAATCCAACACAAGTAATATGTTAAATAGGAAAAGTAAATTAGTCTTTCTAGCCTTAATTGGCAGTGAGAGGAACAAAAGAACTAATCTAAATTTCAAACAAAAGAGAACTCAGTGGGAAACCAGTCCACTGTTTTTCTAAATAAAAAAAATACAAGTAACCTGGGCAAGCTATGATTGTATACATTCTGAAAAGAGATGGCATTTGAAAGAAAAATAGGGCCTGTGGGTAACACAATGATAATTAGTACAGAGAGTGTAACTGGTGAGTCATGTTCAAATTCCATGCCAGCTTGTTGTATTCACTTTACACTAACACCCTTGGAAAAGGCATGAAGCAATGTGTAAAGAATTTTCAGCTTTGAGTGGCAGCCAGTTTAGAAGAATAGAATCCTCAGTTAAAAACATGGAGAAGGCAACAGAAAACTACTGCACTATTTTCCCAAGAAGTTCATAGTAATTCACACATATTAAATCTGGGGAAAGATTTGATCACATGAAAATGCCTTTAAAAATTATTTGGTTTTCCCCTGTGAGTTTTGAAATATATTTTCCAATTATTAAAGTAATATGAAATAATTATAAATGAATAAGTTTATTACTTATTTATAAGAGTTATAACTCTGAATAGGTAATTATAGACCACCTAACATATATATACACAAAAAATTTGTAAAAATGAGAAACAGCAAAATGTGGAAACAATAAAACAAGTATAATTTATTATCTGCTTATGTGATGTTGAAGAAATGAGACAGTAATAATTACCAAAATTATGAGTTTGGGGTCAAAGGTCAATCAAATATGGATCAGAATCTGACAGA